GGTGTAAAATATGCTAACACATGAAGGTAAAAAGGTTTGCGGACTCTCTCTGTTGGTGGTCGAGTTTGAAATTCAAGATTTTAATAAACGTTCCAATTTTTTTCACGCTATTCTATAATATAACTATTTAAACTTCTTGAGTGCTAGATTATCAGAGCAGGACCTTCAATCCTCTTGTGTGTGTATATAGATAGATAGATATGTGTATACACACCTCGCTACATTAGGAGGTGTAAATGTGGGACAGAGTGTTGGGATGGTCAGGTGATCCTGTAGACCATAAAGTTCTGATTGCATAAAACATCATTAATTCTTAATGGGTTAAAACCAGCCGCAAATGCACAATGCTGCAGTGACGCCCTTTGTAGAATTACAGGAGGAGAAATACACAGGAAAAAAAAAAACAATGTAAGAAAAAAATTACAAAAAAACTCTCTCCAATCCAATTATAACATTCAAATCAAGGTGAAAAAAGGATATCATCAAGCACAATTAAAACCCACATTTCAACAGAAAATAACTTTCCGATGTGTGAAGAATTAAAAAGAGGATTTTCAAAGTCAGCATATTTTTTGTTCAAAAAACAGTTGAATGAAGATGAGAGTCAAACAATTCATTTTTGTTACTGGTTGGGAGGAGGGAAAGGCAGAGGGTGTTTGATCATGTTTAATACAGAGCATTGTTCTAATATCAATGCAAATTGTTTCCCAGATACTCTATCTTTTAACCCAAACAGCAGTGAAGGTATTGTACATCGACTCGCACCTGTATGACTGGGGTAGCAATAGCTTACATTCGCATTATCCTCAGACGGCAAGTAACTGACCGACTCCGATAGTACGTATTGTCCAAAATAACGGAAAAACTAATATGACGTCCTTCTTTGGTAGGCTAAAAATTATGCTGGGAGAATACTAGATAGAAGTCACTCCAGTTTTTGTCAAACTAAATACCTCAACTAGAGATGTCACTTAGTCATCTGTCCATTACAATTGTAACGTGACTATGCATGCCTACACTGATCAGCCACAAAATGAAAACCACCTGCCTAATATCGTGTACGTCCCCTAATGCTGCCAAAACAGCATGGACTCCACAAGACCTCTAAATGAGTCCTGCAGTACCTGGCACCAGCACATTAGTAGCAGATCATTTTAGTCCTGCAAGTTGCGAGGTGGGGCCTCTATGGATAGGATTTGTTGTTCCGGTACATGGTACAGATGCTCAATTGGATTGAAGTTTGGGAAATATGGAGGCTAAGGCAAAACTTTGGGCTCTTTATCATGTTGTCAAACGATTCCTGAACAGTTTTTGCAGTGTGACATGGTGCAATATCTGACGGAAAAAGGCCACTGCCATTGGGGAACACCATTGCCACGAAGGGGTGTACATGTTATGCAACAATCTTAGTAACATCACATGGACTCAAGGTTTCCCAAATGAACATTACCCAGAGCATAACACCACCTATGCCAGCCTGCCTTCTTCCCATCGTGCATCCTGCTGCCATCTCTTCCCCAGGTAAATGATGCAACCAGCCATCGACCTGATCTTAAAGAAAATGGGATTCATCAGACCAGGCAATCTTCGGTGCTTATGGCAGTGGACAGGGCTCCGACCTCTCTTTCACCCCTCATGTGAAATTGCCAAATCCTGCCACTTCCTTCTCAAAAACAATGCGCACATCTGCCTCTACTTAACGCCAGATGCGGCTAAGGTGCTGGTCCATGCCACTGTCCTCTCTCGCCTTGACTTCTTCAATTCGCTTCTCATTGGTCTTACGTGTTTCCAACTTTCCCCATTGCAGTCTATAATGAATGCGGCGGCGAGGATCATCTTCCTGTCTGCCCGCACCTCCCATGCCTCACCCCTGTGTCAGTCCCTGCATTGGCTTCCCGTAAGATATAGGGCTCATTTAAAATACTGGTTCTTGCTTTCATATCTCTACATAATGCTACTCCCACCTATCTATCCTAATACACAAGTATGTCCCGTCTATCCCCCTAGGCAACTGCGTCTATCCTCTGTCCGTACTCCCACCTCTGATGCTCGCATTCAAGACTTCTCTAGGGCTGCAGTGTTCCTGTGGAACTCCCTTCCCTTTTCCGTTAGACACTCATCCAGTCTCCACTCCTTCAAAAAAATCATTAAAAACTCACTTTTTCACAAAAGCATATCAATTAAACTGTTAATGGCTTTAAAAACTCCCACACTAAGTCTTCATTGAATATTATTCTACCAATCTGCTTCCCTAATACTTCTCTTATCTTTTGTGTCACTTTACCCCACTCCCTCTAGCATGTAAGCTTATAGGACCCTTAACCCCTCTGTTCCTGTGTGTCAAACTTGTCTGGTTACAACTACATGTTTGTTAGTCCACCCACTGTAAAGCGCTTTGGAATTTGTTGGCACTATATAAATATAATAATTATTATGGGCACTTTGACCAGTCTGTGGCCATGCAACCCTATACACAGTGATCTATGGTGCACTGTATGTTCTAACACATTTATATCATGGTCAGTAATATGTTTTTCAGCAATTTGAGGTACAGGATCTCTTCTGTGTTGACTAGCCTTCGCGACCTATGTGCATAAATGAGCCTTGGCAGTCCATGACCATTTGCACCACTTTTGATAGGTACTAACCACTACATACCATTGTAACAATATAATAAATGTTATTCACTTCACCTGTTAGCAGTTTTAATGTTGTGGCTGATCACTGTATATTTCCTGAGAGGCTGTGAACACTGGGTTATGCAAGGAGCCAGCAGTGCAGAATTTCTCCGTTCCATTTAGAACAATTTGCCGTTAACATCGGAGATGTCATAATAAGTGAATTTCCTTATTATGACATCTCCGATTGAGAGAGCGGATCTGAGAAAAATTGGAGGGACTTCAATTACATCTCCCTAGCACCATAACCACTGTAATAAACTGAGAAGAGTTATAGTGCTTGGAGTACCTCTTTAAAATAATGTTTGTCTCTCTTAAAGGAATGGAAAAAACAAAACTTAAAACCTCTACTGGTTAAACATGAGATATTCACCCCCCTCACTGCCCCCCAATTAAAACTGAAGCTCAGTTATATTACAGTAAAAGAAACACTACTAGATGATATGTCCTGGTTTGAATTGGATCTTATCCTCTTCCATTTTGACATTTTCTTCAACCCAGAAGTCTGGAATCTCCCAGCAAATTCTTGAGAGAGCCAACTCAAGTTGCATTCAAGCTCAACGATGATGGTCTCTGTATTTCTTTCATTGAAAATAAAAATAAAGCATTGTCAAATTAATAGAAGGTTGGTTTACACCTCCAGTAGCAAGCAATGTGGCACTTACTGAGACAGTGATACCAACTGGGGCTAATGCCAACTCCTCTGCCAGTGTCTCTCTGTCAACTGGACTCTTGACCTTGAATAATCCTGTTGAAATCCTCTCTATAAGTGTTATTCTGGTACCTGGTTTGGGTAAACCCTCACAAGTAATTTACTGCCATGGAGCTAATGTATTTTTGTGTTGCAAGGGCCACTGATTTGCCCTGTAGCAATCATTGCAATTAGCTGTGCTTTATATATCCATTCTGAGATTATTCTTTTTTTTTTATAATATATATCTTTTTTTTTTTCTCCCCCCACCTACAGTTGTTTATGCGGTTCCGTGTTTTGAACGCATTTATCCAACCTTACGTTCTGTGTGACAAATGAATTGCCCACGAAGAAAGGTTAGAAGAGACACAGCTCATTTAGCAGCCGCACAGCCTGGGGCTACATTGTGTTTATAGCACGTGCGGTGGTTAGATCTACAAATAATTCTATGTACAAGTATGCACGTATCTGTAGATTTTCTTTGCATCTCGCTAGTTGTTGAAATGACTGCATGACTCCTTCCTGACTGTGGGTGAGTGTGAAAAATGAAGTGGCCCATTTATCATATCACCAGCTGCTTTCACCTCTATGCTCTTTCATTCTTACCTGGATTCCCCCCCCCCTCCCCAAAAAAAATCATTATTATTATTATTATTATTTTAGAGACTTCTAGGATACATTTAAAAAGAAAAAGGGAGTGATATAAAAAAAAAAAAAACTAAAAAACCTTAAACATTCAAATAAAAAAAATTAAATACACCATATAAAATCGATATAGCAACAATTTAAAATATGATGAACATATTAAAAAAAAAAAGAAGAAGAGAAGAGAAATGGAGAGGAAAGAATAAAAAAGTAAAACCTGTTAAATTAAACATTTATATGACAATGAAAAGGTTTGGAAATAAATGTTTCTTCAATAAAATAATAATTGTGGAGTAGCTTGGCGTTCCAAATAGAAAAATAATACAAAGACCTGATATTGGTGATGTGTGGATTTTCTTTTTCTGTCGCGCTCACGCGTGTTTATTCCTGTGGCTCTGCACTTTTACATTTATATTTTCCATTCTACCGATGACTATTTGGGGATAGTTTGCATTAACGCTGTGTGTGTGTGTGTGTGTGTGTGTGTATATATATATATAATATAATAATTATTCCAATGTATACATTTTATTTATTTTTTTAAACTTGAATGTAAGAATATACAAAGAAAACAAATTCATTATTAGGATTAATACATTTCTAAAATCCATTTTCGTGGAGCAGTAGTGTCTAGAGAAATATTATAAGGTGTGAGTTTTAATGTTGAGCTCTTGGTTCCCTATTCTGAAATATTAGACGATATTCTAGTGACACTCCTGTACTCTGTGCTAATTACTTTGCATCAGAAATAAGTAAATCCTTGGGGGCGGAGCTAACTATCGAGCAGACAAATCGCATGAATCCTGAACTCCGACATCACTACGGCAAAACAACCTCAGAACCCTCAAAATCTACCTCCATAAGCCGGGGAAAGATAGAGGGGGAGCCAGTGCAACATGGGGAAGCACTCACGGAAACCCAGAGGGCCATCCACGGGACATACCCAAGATATCAGGCAACTCTTGTCCCAGGCCTGCAGACCCAAAATGGCGGACATCTTTCAAACGATGGGGATGGAGTCACTCTCTGCCTCAGAGGATGACTACATGAGCGATGTGCCGACCCAGACACCCCACAGGAAGCAACAAACCGCTCCAAAAAGGCAATCAGGACCACCACTGGCCACTAAGGCAGACTTGTCAGGTATGGTGACTGACCTCAATGCCTTCTTTACGGCAGAATTAGCTGGCCTCAAGATGGAACTGAACACGCTCACAGGCCGCATCCAAGCCAAGGAAGAGGTAATTCAGGACTTGAGAGCCCAGCACGACGCCGTGGCAAAGCAAACACAAGAGCTAGTAACCACATGCTCACAACTCAATGCTCGAGTGGGGCAGCTTGAAGATATGGCGAGACAAAGAAATATAAAGGTGAAGGGGGATCCCGGACTCAGTGACAGCAGACGAATTGCCGCACCACATAAAGATGTTGCTGCAAACTGCCCTACCACCTAAACAGGCCAAAGGACTGACCTGAGACGGCCTATTCCGCATACCAGGGCACCCAAGCAATGCCCCAGACACCGCAAGGGATGTCATCATGAGCTTTAAATCCCGCTCAGACAAAGAGGGATTCCTCCGTGCTGTCAGGGGCCAGACCCCGTACACTTTTGAGAATCTGACCTTACACTTCTTCCAAGACCTGAGTCGCCAAACATTGCAGTGGCGGGCTTCCATGAAAGTAATCACAACACAACTGTGAGCAGCGGACATACAATATAGATGGGGCCACCCCCGAATGCTCATCGCCACACATGAAGGTCAAAACCACCGACTAACAACACCGGCGGAAGCACCACAACTCTTACAAGCACTGGGTATTCGCCCCACGGAAGGTGCCAAGACGAAAACACCACACCGGTGGGATATAGCCAACATAACACCATTCACCCTATCGGGACAGACGGCCCCAGCAGGAAGCAGCATCATGCACCTACCCGATTCTTAAGGTGGTGAATCAACCATTCATCACCAGGAACCCGTGAAGGCCCCGATCGGAGGGCTAATACACTGACTGATGCAATGTCCCCTCCCCCCTTGTTTTCCTTTTGTGTGTTTTTCCTTTCTTCTTTTTTTTGTATTTAAGTTTATGCCTAAGTTGTATGCCAGTTATACATCTCTATGCCACTTACGTTATCTGCTTGATGCTGTGCTGTAGATCAGACACCTGGTCAGCAAAACACCCCACCTCCCCCCAGACTCTCGGGTTAAGGAGTCTTATTACCATGACATACCCCCACAATGCCTCAAGCCACCGCAACACACAAGCACCCATGGAATACGAACCAAACCGAAGACGCGCTATGTGTCTTAACTCACCTAACTTGAAAATGCACACAAGTCACCTTAAAGCATAGGTTAACCATAGCGACAGAGCTTAGAACCGCTGCTGATCCACCTACATGTCAGCCTCCCCGCTCACTAGTCTAACACTTGACATCACCGAAGATATGTTGGCCTGTTACAGCTTGTTCCTTACATATCTCCAGCCTGTACAATATGGATCTAAATATAGGTGCTATGGTTCTTACATATACACCTCACCTGCCTGTAGGCTAACACCTGAAATCTAAGGGACAACTTGCTTGTACCCTACCACACTACTACCAAGCTACCACACTGTACTCTGCCTGTTGTTATCACAAAAATTCTGCAATCTATTCCCTACAACAAAACCCTAAAAACTGTGCTGACTATTATATGCCACGTTATTTTTATGATGCCTGTTATAAGCTTACGATTGCTATTGTGGCCTACTGTTAAACCATGCACAACAGAAAATAAAGAATTAAAAAAAAAAAAAAAAGAAATAAGTAAATCCTTATGTTTGTTGTTTTTTTTTTTTTTTGAGCATATAATTTTAGTTCAATTTGGTTCCTTCAAAGTGTCGTATGTGGACATGTCACTGCAGGGGTTAATTTAACGCGCATGGCAATGTAAATTATAATATAAAAGCAATCGAGACTTGACTGAGAAATGGTTTATGCAAAAAATATCACATGTGATCGTTCTGCTTTAAAACCTTTCTAGGGATAAGCAAGTTGAGCCTTTTTTTTGCACAGGAGCGAGACTAACAGTAGACATCCATGTGTTCAGGGATAAACGCGTGATAACGAGATCAGGGTGATGGAAGAATGGATGAGATATGCCGCACCCATTCTGTTCTCAACCTGGGACGCAACAGATTACTGAAGCTGGCGTTAAAGACAAAGCAAAAAAATAAAAATAAAAAAATAAAAAGAACTAATGAAAGGTTTAGATAAACTGTAAAACAAATGTGTGTATTCATATACACCTATATGATCTACAGAAAAAGTAACCGTGCATTGCATGTTATAGAAAAATATTGCCAGTGAGGGCTTCGGCAGATAATAAATCACAGGACCCAGGGATAAGTGGTTTATACATTTTCTTCTGAACTCAAAGATGACATTATTTTCCTTTAATACACTTTTCTCTGCTAGGTATCTTTATCATTCCATAATTTTGAAGTTTTCATGTTGGGGCTAGGGGTAGCCTGTCCGGTAAGTGTAAGGGTCCAGGGAAGATATTTAGTTTTAGGGCAACACTGGGACATACATGTTGCACTGCTGCCTGGCTTTAGTAGGAGTCATAGTACTGGGTGGTCAATATAAAATAATATATATATATAACCAGCCACCATTCAGATCAGGAACAAGCCAAATTAAAATAGCAGTAACTGTCTTGTGGAGTATAGCTTGCATTTGTATGTCCCAGTTCTGCGTCTGATATAGACCTCCAAACACGAAGGTGATCCGGACCTTGCTCACTGCTGCCTGGTGAAATTGAAGGCATTATGTCACAAGGCTTGTGCACAGTGGGCAAATTCAGTTGAGCTAAGCCATTCCATACAAAAAAAATATTATATTTATATATATATATATATATATATATATATATATATATATATATATATATATATATAAAACTTTATCAACATGGTAGAATTTCATCTAAATGGTGGTTTGGCTCGTCCAAATTTTGTCCATGAAAAATATTAATGAGAGCGCAGCAGACCACCCAAAGGGATGCGAAAATGGGACAGTATATGTACTGTAAAACATATATAAATAATATAAATGTTATGTATATATTTTGCAATACACTGATAGCCTAATTTCCACACCATTTGGTTTACAGAAGAAAGAAAGGAAAAAGGAAAAGTAAAAAAGAAATCTATATTTATTTTTATATTATGTATTAATTGAATATATAATGTATAAATATAGAATATATTTCTTTTTTTTGTTTCTCCTTTTTTCCCGTTCTATTGGTCACTTCTCACACGATCTGTGATTAAAATGAACATTCAGTACATGCACCCAAGCCATCAATCATCTTTTTTTCTACATAAATCATTACTTTTTTTGGCACCATAGATGGAATCATAACTAAAAACAAACATGCACAAGTTGTTTGTTAATTAGTTTGGTCATACATCCTGTTTAGGATTTTAATAAGTCACAAGATTGGCCAAAATTAGGGACAAACCGAATGTCCAAGTCTACATGTGATCATTTATGCACAGGATTCTAAAACATGTCCTGTATATTTTTTTCATTTTGCCTACTTTAATTCACATGCATAGATGGTTCTTTATTAGTAAGGTGTGTTTAGAATAGAAACTAAAACTCTTATGAGACGAGACGGCTATTTAACTGGAGGGCATTTAAACAGATCATAAAATGTACATAAAGATAATGGGAACTAACAAGTAACCAAAACTTGAATATTTATTATACAAAATTATATATCCATTTAACGCGTTTCGTCATACAGACTTCTTCAAAAATGGAACTTCTTCAAAAATGGCATTCCATTTTTGAAGAAGTCTGTATGACGAAACGCGTTAAATGGATATATAATTTTGTATAATAAATATTAAAGTTTTGGTTACTTGTTAGTTCCCATTATCTTTATTTATACATTTATTCCTGGCTAATTTTATATATATTTGATAAATATTTATCCTGATTTTAACATCATTTCCACAAGTTCCTGTGCAGTGAAAGAAATCCTAGGTGGGGATTATTCCACCAGCGCTGACATCATAGAGCAGTTGACCTGCTCTGTACTTGTAAGTACGCTTTTTTACTTAATCCTACTATATACACCCATACAGAGAGCACTATCTGGCTTGTTTCTGTTCTCTTTGAGTTTCTGGACACCACTGAAGGACCGATACTCACCGCACGTCCCATAAGCGGGGACTATACCGCTGTGTGCGCTTTACCCTAGAGCTGGACAGAAGCTCTTACAAATTGTGAGTTTGCTACTTTTATTTTATTCCACTTGAACCATACATATTGCACTATCGGCTGTTCTCTTTTTATCTTTTATATCCCATACCTGAAGACTTTGTTCCTGTATCCAAGGACGACAGAGAGGACACATTTTTTAGGTTGGACTTTTACCAGTATTTGGATTGAATATTATTTATTCCACTTTGGCGCAGCCCTTCTTTTACATTCTGTTTTTTACTTTGTATTTTTAAGGGTTTTGGGGGGATTCCCTTTTTTGGGTTGCTGCCTTATAGGTTAATTGGCGCTGTCTCTTCCTTTTATTTATTTTAGGGTTACCCTACGCCTAGCCCTACTCCTACTCCTAACCCTACCCCTACCCCTAAACCAAACCCTACTCCTAACCCTTACTCAACCCTACCCACTAACTCAACCCCTAACCCTCTCCTGTTTTGCCACTTTTCAGAAATCCGAAGCACTTCGGCACTGTCAAAATTCGGCACTTTGTGAATTTAAAAAATTTGCATTTGAAACGAAACGAATTGCACATGTCTATCATGTAGTAACGCCCGCAGTGTAAACATAGGTCACTTTTATCTTCATGACCCCATTGTAAATCTCCCCTGATCTTCAGAAATACAAACAATAAAAGAATGTTTGACTTGCATAATACACATCAAATCATATTTAACAAGATTAAAGGAACACTCCAGGGATCATGGTGCGAGGGTTGCCCCGGTGCCTCTCCATTGTAAGTATTCAAACCGCTTTTGACTGGACGTGGGGTCCACCAGGTATGGCTACTCACCTGCACTGCCATCTGTCCAAAGACACAACTTCCTCAACACAAGCTTCTGTTAGCTCTCCTTAACTAGGCCCTGCAATGCAGACTTAACTCATTGGCTGAAAGCATCAGCTGATGGCCCCAGCCAATGAGCTAAGCCATACTTTGCAGTTCTTATCCCTGGAGGGCCAATGGAAGCTAATGCTGAAGAACTTCCAGCACTTGGGAGATGGTAGAGGAGGAGGCAGAACCGGCATTACCTGGCAGAACACACACAAGCGCCAAACCATTAAAACTGTTTTGACTCTTTGCAATGAGGTAGTGACTGGGCATTCCTGGCCCCCAGTGGCAGAACTACCGGGGTCGCAGCTGCGACTTGGCCCGCCACTCCAGGGGGCCTTGCTGCCCTG